TGTAAAATACACACAATCATAGAGTGGACATTAGCCCCTGGGCCGATTCCCCGGTGGTTCTCCTGTATAAACAACAATAATTCATGACAAGTGCAAACACTCGAGCATTACCTTTTGGAGCGTGTGGGGCACCCAGGGGGAGGAGGGGGGAGAAGTGGATAAACGACGAGGAATACAGGGGACATAAAGACAACGGTGGAGAGGATAACATGTGGGACATGGAGATGCTGAATTATGTGACAGCGGATGACGTAGAGAGATAACGAGCGCACAAACTAACGGTCGCAAATGCAAGGAGGATTCACCCCGATTGTGTAGATATGTCGCCATGAATGGACAGCGATATCACCCCGATTGTGTAGATATGCCACCATGAACGAGCGGAGGCGCCTGCGTAAGAGAGCACATAATTATAGGTATTATCGCGTTTCTCCTAAAAGAGCAGTGATGTCGCTGTAAGAGAGCGGAGATCCGATCACGTTCCCCTCTGTACGATCATCGATGTCCGCCATGAAAGGGGCAAAGATACGATCCGCATTCTCTCGAGCCAATAGGGACGACACCATCGTGAAAGGCTCCGTCGCATGAATGCCTGCTACGTCCAACGCGATTGGCTGACCCTAAATTAGATATACGCCTCGTGCACGTTGACAAACGCGCTGGGGGGGGGGGTTGCGTGAACGTGCGACTGGCTGACATCATGAGCGATCGGGTGAGGCGACCCAGCGTGTCTGCTGTCACGAGAAGAGAGTCACGTCACTGCGGTCCTCTCAGAACTCCGCGACACCGTAGTCGTCTGCGATCTGTTGTTACGTCATCGCTAGTAATCGCGCAAGACTCCGCGTCGCCACCGATACCCACGTCGGCACCCACGTCGGCATCCACGTCGGCATCCACGTCGGCATCCACGTCGGCATACTCGCTGAGTGGGCTGGAATATGGAGAACTAATGTGAGGTAGATATGGAAGCTGTCTGGTGATGGTGGTCCTGCCCATGATGGAATTGGAAGCTTGTTTGTTTTGGAATTGGAGCCCCAGTCTGGACTCAAACAAAACCACAGCTGAGAGATGAAAATCTGGCTAGCCTGGCACCGAAGTCGCGGGTTGTCAGGCCTCTATTAAGGGCGGCTACAGCAGCACAAGCAACTGTTGGCTACATCCATTTAATTTTATTGCAATTTTATGGTCTCCAAAGTGCCACTGAAATGTCGCGGCAGCTGTCATACAATTACACCTTGTAGTTTGACCAATGTTTCCGACACAGAAA